TTGCTGGAACCTTTCAGAGGGCCCCCTATCGCTGGAACTCTGCCAGAGCCCTGCTGGCTGCCAGCTCCAGAGTCCTGCAGCCCTTTGGGCTGAAGCAGAGAATGTCAGAGGTCTCTGGAAGTCATGGATTCCGTGACTTCCAGAATCTGACATAAACAAACATAGCCTTAATCATAAAGCAACAACTGCAGCAGCCACATACTGTCCAAAATGCAAAATTTCTACCATTCTTTGACGTGACCTTTCTGACTGTCAATAGCTACAAGGACTCTTTCCAAATATTCTCTATGGGGTAGTCATTTGTTGGTGCCCTAAAACATGAGTCCTCTTCCTTCCCTTCTCTTCCCAATATGCATGAGAACAAGGAGTAGATCAGATCTGTATGTTTTGGGGGGGCAGAATTGTGAACTGGTTTCACCAGTCTCAGGGTCCCTACCAGACAAAATGTGGTCCGCCATTATCGTACTACCAAACAGAATCAAAAGGTACATGTAAAAAACTTGCAATATTACATTAAAAGCTATATTTGCAAAGAAGGGAATAAAATCTAAGCATTTCTGGGGCCACCAAATTGGAAGTTCTGTGATTGTGGTTCTCATGGGGCCCCAAACAACCTTAGTTTTTGGTTTTATCACAGCTGGTATCAGCAAGCTTGCCTTCAGTTAGTCCCTTATGCGAGTGGCTCTCAGATCTCCCAACTGAAACTATTCCCTCTTGCTCCTGTTCGTCATCACACCCTTCCTTTTGACATTTACTTGTGATAAACTCAACATCTTTCATATTGTCAGAATCTTAAGCTTTTGAACTCAGTCCTTGCCCAAGTATTTTTTTGTTTTAATATCTAGTACAATGGGAGACTTAATCCCATTTGGGTCCTTAAATGCTAATAAATAATGTGCAAAAACACTAGAAAGAAGAAACTAGAAGTGTATTTGTTTCTACAGAGGAATTGTTCAGTTGTCTTACAGCAACCTATAATATTCCAAAACAGAAGTCTCATAGCACTTGCTGGTGGTCTGTGGGAAACTGGGTTTTTCACCATGCTGGTGTCTCCTTTCCAGCTGTTAAATGGCATCTGAGAGATCTTCTGTGTAAGCAATTTGTGTAGTTGCCATGGGTGCTATGACCATGAATTTGAGGGGGAGGTAGTCCATGAGACCATGCCTTAATTAAAATAGGCTTGTGCTATGGAAAAATTTAGGAACCTTGAGCCATAACTCTCCCAGCATGCATGGGAACTGTGAATGTTCTGGGCTCCAGGATTTCAACTTTTTTATACGTGCTTTAGCTTACATCCATGGACTACTGACCAAAGTAAAACCTTTTTCCCTGCAAAAAGACACTAAAGGGCAAATTTTGCACCAAGCCTGTCTTAAGCTGGCTTTGACATAGAAGGAATCCAGAGTTTATGGTAAAAGATAATGGAATCTTCTTGCATTGGTACACCTCTACCTCGATGTAACGCTGTCCTCGGGAGCCAAAAAAATCTTACCGCGTTATTAGTGAAACCGTGTTATATCGAACTTGCTTTGATCCACCAGAGTGTGCAGCTTCCTCCCTCCT